AGAGCCAGGAGTGACCTCTGTGCATCACCGGGTGTAACCCAAAAAGCAAAAAGCAAAAAAAAAAAAAAATCAAAACATAAATTAGGGGATATGGTGCCATCCAGCAGGTCAACTTATATCTGCAGAGTGATTGCATCAGCAACCTGATGGTGCCCTGCACCTCTGGCCAGACCCCAGCAACTTGGGACCAAGTTTCCTGAAAAATTGACTGCCCAAAAATTAGGTTGGTACGCCCACAAACCACCTCCAGCTCAGCTCTACAAACACATTTATTGGCCTTGCTTCAGAGACCCATAAATAAATCTCAAAAGAGATCAAAAGCGGATCATTTAAGCTCATTAATGGCCATGATTCAGACACAAATGAACCTCCAACGAGAGCAGCATGCGGTAGAGATGTCTCCCCATCTCATGCCAGACTGATTTCACCGGGGCACCTCAGAGTAAAGAAGGTGTGTCCCTCCACCTGCCCCAAATGAACCCCAGTAGGCGCAAACCTCCAGAACCCAATCACCACCACACTCACGACCGACCTTCACAGACTTGTCCTGAGCCCCCCACGCGTGAGAATGAATCTGCTGAAAAACCCAGGTATGTGGGACCAGTGACTAAAAACTCCAGGCTTCAAGAGTCGGGGATGGGCGACCTTCCCCCATCTCCCCGCCCTTCCAGTTTCCTGGTACTCACACCCAAGAACTGCCTCTGGCCACCATTTAAGCACATTAATGGCCATGATTCAGAGACTCACAAATCAATCTTGTAAGAGAACAGTATGCCACTCAATGCCTCTTTTGCAAACCACAGCACCCAAAAGGAGAGAGAGAACAAAAGGGAATGCCCTGCCACAGGGTGGGGTGGGATGTGGGGGGGATGAGGGGTGGGAGGGATACTGGGATCATTGGTGGTGGAGAATGAGCACTGGTGGAGGGATGGGTACTCGATCATTGTATAACTGAAACCAAAGCACAAAAATTTGTAAGTCTACAACTGTACCTCATGGTGTTTTACTAATAAAAATAAAAAATGAAAAAACAATGTTAAAAAGAGAGAGAGAGAGAAAGAGAGAGAGAGAGAGAGAGAGGGAGAGAGAGAGAGAGAGAGAGAGAGAGAGCAGGATGACAGGGAGATGCCTCCAGGCCTCAAATATTTAAAACTTTTAGAATTCCAGGAGCACATGGCCATTTTTGTAGCCACGTGACATCTCATACTATTCATGGCAAGCAACACAAAATAAATTATTTAGCATCTGCCTGAGGGGCAGGCTGGGGTGGTGGTGGAAATATTCAAAGTACTGGTAGTGGGAAGGTGCAATGGTGGTGGGATTGGTGTTGAAATACTGAATATAAACAATTATTGAAAACAACTTTTTTAAAATTTTAAAACTGTTAAAAAAATTTAAAAAATTTAAAAAGTAATGTGAAGTTCACGCCAGCTTCAATCAGCTTAATTTACGGCTGAATAAACAGCAGTACTCCTACATTATAAAATATATAAGTTAGATATGTTGATTTTTCGTCCACCACTACCAAATTCTATCTGCACAAAATTAGGCACATTTGTATTGGTACTTAGTTTTTCCTTTGTGTTGGAAAATCCTGTGAGCCAAAGATTTCTGGTCATCTACTATGTGGCTCTCAATGGTTCTCAGAACTAGGCAAGGTCCTCAGAACAGTTAATAGACAAAATCCATTTTGTTTTTGGCATTTTGAATTGTTTCTACTCTTGGTCGTACTCAGGGCTAACTCCTGGCTCTGTGATTAAGGATCACTCCTGGAGGTGCTTGGAGAACCATGCAGGGCTGGGGATTGAACTGGGATTGGCTACGTGCAATGCAAACACCTTAACCTCTGTAGTATCTCTCCAGTTCAACACAAAGACCTTTCAAGGAGCACACAGTCTCTCAGTGCAAAACAGACAAGGATGTAAGTACATAAGTATGCCAGGTATAGTTTTCTGTACTGATACTCTATAGAAAGTGGAAGAAGTCGTACTGGAGAGATTGCTCAGTGGTCAAGCACATATTAGCATGTGTGAGGCTTTGAGATACATCCTTGATATTGCATGACCTCACTAGCTGAACATGGAGCCTGTGAGTATGGTTTCATCACCTCCCCAACCCCAGCACCATGGGTGTGGACCTATTTTTCTTTTTTTAAAAAAAGATAGAAACAGGGTTTTGACATGAAAGAAACCTCAAGATAAAATCTAGGCTCCTTGCAACAAAATGACTGAACATTTGTTTAAAGAAGATGGACATGACTCTGCCTTTAGAGGAAGTGATGATAAGAGATGGGATGGCTTTATCATCCTCATCCTGAAATCTTTCATCTCTTTATGGCCAGGCAGATGGGACCTTTCCCTCTGTCTTCTTGACCTCGTTGTCTCAGCCAATGGCTCAGCCAATAAGGTCAAGTAGCCAGATGAATATCAGAAAGATTAGTTGGAGATAAAGGACCATTTTCAATACCTGCACAGGAAAATCGATGTGACTGTAAGTTACAGAGTAGATGAGCCAAGGTAAAGGTAAAGGCCCTCCCGTTGATCGTCGATTTGCTCGAGCGGGCCCAGTAACGTCTCCATTGGAGACTTTGTTGTTACTGTGTCTGGCATATCGAATAATCTCGGTAGCTTGCCGGGCTCTTCGAGAGGGGCGGAGGAATCGAACTCGGGTCGGCCATGTTGGCTGCTTGTAAGGCGAACGCCCTACCTCTGTGCTATCGCTCCAGCCCTGATTTTATTATCAAGCCTATAAACTGAGTGCGATTTTATGTGTTCTTTGGTATGATTTGGCAGTTATTTTGTGGGTGTGGGAATGCTTGACAAAATTTCCACATAAATATACAGTTTTGTTTTTTGTTTTTTTCACTTTATTGACTTTTTTTGGTTTTGTTTTGGGGTCACAGCCAGATGAGCCAAAACAAGTGTTTTTATTCTGAGGCTTCAAGAAACACACGGACTCACAGTGACCAAAGTTGATGCTCTAACTAGATGTCTGCCTTCCCACAGAGATAGGTTTCTGTGATTGAAAGATTATTTCTCAACCCAAAATCTGGGCCAGACTCATTCTTCTAAGAGGCAAGAGCTTTTCTTGAAACCCAAACTCCTATGATCTTTGCTCAATATAATCCACATGCAAGGAGATTGCATCTTGGAAGATCTGTTCTGGACATCTTGGGAAGACAGTGCAGGTAACCTCCTGGGGAAGTCCTAATCTTCATGGCTATCTAGTTTGCTTCAGTCCCATCATCTTGTCTTTAACTCTAACTCAGAGAAGAATAAAAGGTTTGTGAGGGACTCCTATTGACTTTTTCTTTGGGGGGACCACAATGGCAGTGCTCAGGACTTACTCCTGGCTCTGTACTAGGGATCACTTGTGGTAGGCTAGGCCCTCTGGAGTGCCAGAGATTGAACCTAAGTTGGCCATGCGCAAGGCAACTGCCTTACCCACTGTACTATAACTATGGTGCCTCCTGATCACTTTTTAAGGGCACATCACTTTGAGTCACAGTCTTCTGATTATAAGCCTATCATAAAGGAGGCGGGGAAATATCTCCATTGATGTGGCCAAGCACTCAGCTGAACATCCAGGAGAAGGAAGGAACTGGTATTGTGGGCCAAGAGCAATTCTGTCAGAGTGGAATCAGATGTGGCAGGAGGCTATTTGAACCAGGCTACTCAAAGAAGACAAGTCTAAATTAGGGATTGCAGTAGGGGCCAGTGAGAGCAAGGTTGAGTGTTAACCCCTACTCTTGACCCTGAGTGAGACACTCCCAGGCAGATCACAGCCAACCTACCCTCATGCTGCCAGTTGCCAAAGGTGACCAGGATCAGGCTAACTGCAATAGGAAATTCCTCCCGAGTTATATGGACACTTCACTTACCCTTATTATTATTAATTATTATTATTATTATTATTATTATTATTATTGGGCTAGAGCGATAGCACAGCGGTAGGGCGTTTGCCTTGCGCGCAGCCGGCGGCCGAGCTGGGTTTGATTCCTCCGCCCCTCTTGGAGAGCCTGGCAATCTACGGAGAGTATCTCCCCAGCACGGCAAAGCCTGGCAAGCTCTCCGTGACATATTCAATACGCCAAACACAGTAACAACAAGTCTCACGATGGAGATGTTACTGGGCCCGCTTGAACAAATAGATGAACAATGGGAGGATCGTGACCGTGATTATTATTATTATTTTATTTTTGATTAAAGAAAAGAGGGGGCTGGAGCAATAACACAGAAGTTAGAACACTGAATTCAATCAGCTAATCAGTGGCTGAATAAATAGCAGTACTCCTACATTAAAAAAAAAAAAAAGTTAGGACACTTGCCATGCAAGAGAGGAATCTGGGTTCAGTACCTGGCATCCCATATTAACCCTTGAGCCCCGCCTGAAGTGACCCCTGAGCACAGAGTCAGGAGTAAACCCTGAGTACCGCTGGGTGTGACTCCAAACCAAAACCCCCCAAAAAACCAAATATTGACCCACTTAGGGATCAGGGTGTTAGCTCAAGAGGTAGAATTTACTGTGATAGAGTTTGATCGCCAGTACGGCAAAAATAAATCGCTACATCAAATAACGTTTATGCCACAGACATATGTCGGGGTGGCATATGCGTTCCTTTGGGACACTGTAGATCCTTTCTTCCCCCCCAGCAATGCAAAGTCATCAGTTCTGAGCCTGAGCTTACTGGTGTGTGCAGTCCCTGTGCCCGCTTGATCACGCCCTCCTCGTGCAGCTTTCCGAGCCAGACCCAGCACCTCCACCTGCAACCTGTCCACCCACTCTGCATGGCGTGGGTGTGTGTGTGTGTGGGGGGGGGGGGTTCCCTCGGCAGGCGGGGTCGCCTTGCAGGTAACAGCCTCCGCCTGTCCCACCCCACCCTTGCAAGCCCGGAACGCAGTTACGCGACCCGGTTGTGCACCGGAAGGGGACGGTGCGGACCGGCTCGGCCTGGGAGCGGAAGGAGCGCCGCGGGACAGTTTTAGCAGCGGGACGCACTGGTTCCCGGCGCTTGTCCGCTCGGGCGGCCTGGCCGTGATGTTCCCGAGGGTGTCCGCGGTCGTCCACCTCCGGCCCGTTTCCCGCCTGCCTTTGAGCCCCGGAGGCCCGGCTGGGGCGAGCGCGGTGCTCGCGGCCCAGCACGGAGCGGTCAGGTACCGTCGGCCCGCGGGCTCTGCAGAGCGCTCTGGTCCTCGCCGCTCGGCGCAGGTGTCCCCGCGGGAGGGGGGGAGGGGGCATCCCGGGGTCAGCGCACGAAGTGGGGGGTGGGGGGACGCGGCCCCGGAGAAGCCCTGGCCTCCAAGCCGAGGGACAGGACGCCCGGGCAAGAGGCCGTGACTTGTCCAAGGTCACGCCGGCGCGACCCCCCGGAGCCCCTGCTGAGTGGGGGTGGTTCCGCTGTCGGCCACGCACCGCCCCCTTTTGTAACTCCAGCCACGTTGTGGGGGGCCAAGTTGGTGGTCTTAGTTTGGGGGGAGCTGCTCGGCAGGGGGTGCTGGGGGTTTCTTTGATGAAGGTCACGGTCTGGGTTCCTTTTGTCCTTTGTGCATCCCTGACAGTGCTCTCGTTGTCATTGAAGTCCAGTCTTCTTCCAAGTTGGCCATGTGGGTTCGAGGAGGATAGAGCTGAGTGAGATGGTCTCGGGTGGTCTCTTAAGACTGCTGGCAGAACTGTTTACAGTAGCCAGAATCTGGAAAAAAACCTCAGTTCCCCGGGAACAGACGACTGGTTAAAGACACTTTGGCACATCTACCCAATGGAGTACTATGTAGCTGTTAGGAAAGATGAAGTCATGAAATTTACACACAAGTAGTACTACATGGAAAGTATCATGTTAGGCGAAATGAGTCAGAAAGAGAGGGGCAGACATAGAAAGATTGCATTCATCTGGTGGATATAAAGTAACAAATAGGGGACTAACACCCAAGAATATCCGAGATAAGTACCAGGAGGTTCACTCCATGGCTTGGAGGCCAGCTGCGCAGGCTAGAGGGAAAGGATAGAGATAGATAGAGAAGGGAGCACCAAGTCAAGGGTGTTGGGAGGATCCTCCCAGGATGGGAGATGCATGCTGAAAGTAGACTGTAGACCGAACATGATTGCCACCCATTGCCTCTTTTGCAAACCACAACACCCAAAAGGAGAGAGAGAATAGGGGGGAATGCCCTGCCACAGAGGCAAGGTGGGATGGGGGGGGATGGAGGGTGGGAGGGATACTGGGATCTGTGGTGGTGGGAAATGGGCACTGGTGGAGGGATGGGTATTTGATTATTGTATAATTGAAACCCAAGCACAAAATTTATAAGTCTACAACTGTACCTCATGGTGTTTCACTAATAAAATTTTTTTTTAAAAAAAGGTGCTGGCTGAAGAGGGAGCCAGCGATTTGAAAAAAGCCCCCCCCCCAAAAAATTTTTTTTTTTGGTCACGTCCAGCGATGCACCAGGGTTACTCTTGGCTTTGCACTCAGAAACCACTCTTGGTGGTGCTCGGGCGAACCATTTGGGATGCTGGGAATCGAACCCAGGTCGATACAGATTCTTCAGCCCCATTCCAAACTTACAACCAAGAGTGCTCGACTCTTAAATAGTCCCTGTAGGTGACTCACTTAATTCTCTGTGTTAGATTCACTTACCTGACTCAGTAGCAGTTTCTTCTTTTGTGCCCTGGGAATAACAGAAGCTGCCCTGTAAAGAAGCGGTAGAACAGAACTACTGAGATGTGGTCCTCACGGGGCGGCGCTGTCCTTATCAAATGCAGATTCCTTAATCTCTCTCAGAGCTTAGGAATCAGAACTCTGAGGAAACCAAATGATCTGTTTTAACAGGTCCTGGGGAATTCCTCCATCTATTTGTGTGGGCACTAGTGCTTCAACCAGGAGGCTCGCTGATGCCCTGCACTGTCTGCAGAACGCCTAGCACAGAGTCACCATTAGGCGTCAGTGGGGGTGCAGATACAGTACCTTCTCCCCAAAGTGGAAATAACATTTTTTTAAGTCTCACAATATCAGATATCAAAAGGGATTTTAACCTAAAAATAAAATGAGATGTGTGGGGAACGTAGAATTAGAAAAGCCTGAAATAGGGGCCGGAGCGATAGCACAGTGGGTAGGGCGTTTACCTTGCATGCGGCCAACCCGGGTTCGATCCCCGGCATCCCATATGGTCCCCCCAAGCACCACCAGGAGTAATTCCTGAATACAAAGCCAGGAGTAATCCCTGAGCATTGCTGGGTGTGACCCAAAAAGCAAAAAAAAAGGAAAAAAGGGGAAAGCCTGAAATAGAAATTATTTGTGTTGTTCCTTTTCACAGATATATCTGATAAAGAAAGCAGAATAGCAGTGTTGGCCTTAACCTTACTTCTGTTTCATTTTAGCAGAGCCATCAGGTGAAACTTGGTTAAATGGCAAAGCTTAATGCAAAAGATGCCCAGAGAAATATAAACCGATTTAAAAAAATAAAATAAATTAGCCATTTTATATTGATTTTTCAAACCATTTAATTACAGATTCTGGGTTTGGTTTTGGGACCACACCTGACAGTGTTCAGGGATTCAACCAGGGTCAACTGTGTACATGGCAAACTCCCTGTACTATCTCTCCAGGCCCTGTATTACACCTTTACTCTTAATATCATACTCAGAGTAAAGACTTGGCAGTCAGAATTGGGCTTGAGCAGAATAAATTAAAATATAATGACCATGTAGGTGTCTTGCAAGGTTTTGGTTTATTTTTAATGTTATTGGCAACATAGAAATGGTCTAAAATGGTATTTGTACCTAGCAATGGGATAAAGGCTGACAGCTGATAGGAGTACCCAGCCACCGCAAGGACCTGGTAGTGTGTATCCCAGCACACGTAGGAGCCCTTTGTGGTCTTGGAGTCACTTGCAGCTATTTGTGGTCTTAGGCCTCAGAAAGATCTGAATGGTTAGACTTTGGAGGGCGGAGCAAGAGGACAGCAGGGAGGGCATTTGCCTTGCACATGGCCAAGCTGAGTTCAATCCCCAGCACCCCATATGAACCCCTGAGCATGCCAGGAATAATTCCTGTGTGCAGAGCCAGGAGTAACACCTGAACATTGGACATTGGATGTGTCGTCCACACCACCCCCCACCCCCACCACCAAAAAAAAAAAAAAAAGACCTAGGATAAGTCATTTCTCTGGTTTCTGTATCGCAAGATGGGAACATCACAGACTTTGAACTGATGGATGGGAGTATGAGGAAATAAATGTACCTGAACTAGATTGCATAAGACTAGGCACGTAGTGTATGTACAATAAATGTTAAGATGCTGGTCTAGGAGCTGGAGTGATAGCACAGTGGGTAGGGCGTTTGCCTTGCATGCAGCCGACCCGGGTTCAATTCCCAGCATTCCATATGGTCCCCTGAGCACCGCCAAGAGTAATTCCTGAGTGCAGAGCCAGGAGTAAACCCTGTGCATTGCCAGGTATGACCCAAAAAGCAAAAAAAAAAAGATGCTAGTCTAAGTGGTTAACAGTGATTTCCAAAGGTTAACGATGATTTCTAAAAAATAAAAGGAAAAGACTTGACAGTTTCTAAAAACATTTTGAGTATTTCTTTTGTAATTTTTTTGTTGTTTTTTTCTTCAATACGTCTTTCCAGGACAAATAATATCCAGAGATATTTTGGCACTACTAGCGTGATTTACAGCAAGAAAGATGAGCAGTCCGTTCCACCCCAGGAGACTTCCAAGGAGACAGAGGACCAAGATGGTGTGAAGGAGAAAAAGAAAAAAGACTTGTTGGGTATTATTAAGGACATGAAAATCGAATTAAGCACAGTAAATGTGCGGACTACAAAGCCACCAAGCAGACGACCTGTTAAAAGCTTGCCACCTGCAGTTGGCAAACCTCGGAAAGCTGCAGAAGATGCCCCGAAGCAGAGGTAAATTGAATTCTAATGGAATATTCTTGCAAAGTGACTCTTTCAACTTTAGTGAAGCTTTATCCCATAGGGGAAGAAAAATTGTAGATACTGAGTTAATGAAGATAGAATACCAGTTTGTAAAGATAGAGGCTAATAATTACTTGGAAATCGCTGTTACTTGGTGGATATGTATATCTAGAGTATTTATACTTAATGATTCCAAGTGCAGCCAGTGATGTTTCGGGCAGTTTGTTATAGATTAAATGCACTATTTGGTTTTATTGATAAATTATCATGTCTACATCAGTGGCATCACTGATTCAAGTGTGTTGTATGTGGTTTTACAATTCCATAACTTCTTGGTAGAATGAGCAGTTATGTAGAGTCCTCAAAATACTACATTTAACATTTTGATGGCATTTTTGGTTTCTGCACTGTATCCAATTTGATCAGAAATACCTGTAGAAAGTGTAAATGGTTGGTTGAGAGAAGCTGATTCAATCAGTGAGTACCTTCACCTCCTTTAAAAGATGTTTTCAATTAAAAAATATTATATATAGGCATATGTGAGTAGATAATAAACAAATACAAATACTTGTTAAAAGTGTTTTTTTAAGCTTCCAGACCTGTTTGTAACTCATTGTGCTTTTTGTCATATAGTTTAACTATTACAGATTTTTAAAAATTACTTCCAAATTAGGTATGATTAAGACAGGCGGGGGCTGGAGCAATAGCACAGCAGGTAGGACGTTTGCCTTGCATGCGGCTGAACCAGGTTCGATTCCCAACATCCCATATGGTCCCCTGAGTACCACCAGGAGTAATTCCTGAGTTCAGAGCCAGGAGTAACCCCCGTGCATTGCCGAGTGTGACCCAAAAAGAAAAAAAAAAAAAGAAGTAAAAACCTAGGAAGATTCTTTATTCAGATTACTTCAGAAGTGATTTTAAGTTCTTGCTCCATGCTTTCCACTTTAACCAATATTGGAACTATGGGAAGGTGTGGAGTGGCCACATTGCCCAAGTGATTATTTCTATCTTGGGACTGCTAACAGTGAGCTATGTTCAAAGACCTGAGTTTTTGTTTCTGCGTCAAAAGATTGATGAATGAGGTCCGTTTGTTTTGAATTTTCAAAAGGTACCTTTTGGGGCCAGAGAAATAAAACAGGAGTTAAGGCACTTGCCCTGCATCCCACCAGCCCTGGTTCAAATGGCACCGCATATGGACCCCCAATGCCCCAGGACTATTCCCTGAGCATAATTTCTCCACCCCCAACAAAACCTAAGTACAAAGATGCCTTTTTGTGATACCTTTTAATACCTCAAGCTCCACTTTATTTATTTATTTATTTATTTATTATAATAGGTTTATTTCAATTTTTCATATAAACAACAGGCATTCACATACAGTGTTAGACATTTTACATTTTTTTTCTTTTTTTTTTAATTAGGCCCTGGGGCCTCCTGGGCAATTTGCATTGTGAGAATAAAATCACTACAAATATCTGGAACACCTTTCCTTAAGAATCTTATAATCTAGCAAAGGAAAGATTTATGAACACATGGGAAGTTAAATTGAAATGATTTTTTTTTTTTGATTAGCGAAACACCATGAGGTACCGTTATAGACTTACAAATTTTTATGCTTGGGTTTCAGTTATACAATGATCAAGTACCCATCCCTCCACCAGTTCCCATCCTCCACCACCACGGGTCCCAGAATCCCTCCCACCCCCCTACCCCCCATCCCACCCTGCCTCTGTGGCAGGGCATTCCCCCTTGTTCTCTCTCTCTTCTTTTGGGTCCTGTGTTTTGCAAGAGAGGCATTGAGTGGCAATCATGTTTAGTCTATAGTCTACTTTCAGCATGCTTCTCCCACCCTGGGAGGATCCTCACAACACCTTTTATTTGGTGCTCTCTTCTCTATCTGAGCTTCCTTTTCCCCTAGCATGTGTGGCTGGCCTCCAAGTCATGGAGCAAAATTCCTGGTACTAATCTTGGCCACTCCTGGGTGTTAGTCTCCCATTTTGTTGCTTTATGTTCCCCAGATGAATGCAATCTTTCTGTGTTTATCCCGCTCTTTCTGACTCATTTCGACAAGCCCCATTTTAAAAGGGATCCCTGGTGCACAGAATTGGGTCGATCATTGTTTTTAAGGGCTGGAGCGATAAAACAGCGGTAGGGCGTTCGCCTTACAAGCGGCCAACATGGCCGACCCGAGTTCGATTCCTCCGCCCCTCTCGGAGAGCCCGGCAAGCTACCGAGAGTATTCGATATGCCAGACACAGTAACAACAAAGTCTCCAATGGAGACGTTACTGGGCCCGCTCGAGCAAATCGACGATCAACGGGAGGGCCTTTACCTTTACCTTTACCTATTGTTTTTGGTTAGAGTGGTACTGCCACTATTGTTCTATATATTGCCTGCTCTTAGTTTCTTCATAACGAGCCCTTATTTATACCCCTCAAAGTTGGCAGATCAGACAGCCAGCATTCGGGTTCTTTTGGTTTGGAGGCCACATCTGGTGGTGTTCAGGACTTACTTCTGGCTCTGTGTTCAGGAATCGCTCCTTGCGGGACTCGGGGATCGTATATGAGCTGACATCCGCACTGCCATGTGCACGGCAAGCATCCTGTGCTCTGTACTATAACTCCAACCTCTTACCCATAAACAGTTTTTTGTTTGTGGGTTCACTGGGTTTGAATGAAACATGAGGACCAAGTTGACCTCCACTCACAACCATTGAGGACCTCGTTGGGAGACTTGAAGGCTTGCTCACTCACAGATCTGCGGTAGATGCTGGCTGTCTGCTGGGGACTGCAGCAGGATTATTACTAGAACCCTCGCAGGTGGCTTCTGTGGCCTGGATTTCCAAGCCCCTTGGTGGCAGGTTCTGAGGATGAGTGTCGTGAGAGAAAGTGAGCCAGGAGACATTTGTGTTGTTCCAAACGAGCCTTGGAATCAGATTGGACACCACCATGCTCCTCCTTTTCTTGCTGATTCTTTGTCATCCCAGCAGTGGCCAAAAAAGCATTTTCAAACAGGTGTGATGTACCCCAGGGTGCCCTAGGGCACAGCTTGGAAACCAAGATCCGATCCTGCCTGGAGCTTCCTCGGAGAGACCTTGGGACCATGCCCTTTGGTTTCTTAGAAACCATCTTGACTCTCTGAGATCTTAACAAAGGGTTTTGCAATCTCTCCTGCAGCTCTTTCTTGTGGTGTGTGTGTGTGTGTGTGTGTGTGTGTGTGTGTTTGTGTACATGTGTAGAAGACCAATGCATGTGCTTTTCTGCTAATCAGTATGCCATGGTGTGATCTTCAGACTTTCTCACACTGCTGCAGCCTTGGTCTTTGTTTAGAAGCCACGTCCAGAGGCTGGAGAGATGATACCACTGGTAAGACCCAGCTTTGATCCTTCGCACTCCATATGACCCCTTGGCACTGCTAGGACTGATTGCTGAGCACAGGGCCAGGCCAGCACAGGGCCCTGCTGGTTATGACCCCAAACTGAACAAAAACAAAACTGACACCAGGTCCATATTTCCGCTTTCCTCACTGTCTATAGTTCAGAATGATGGTAATGTTTTCCTCTTGATTCCAGCCTGTTTTGACTTCTCTCCATGTGATAGTTCTTACTCCCCTTCACATTTTACCAGGAGGCACTTTGAGCACTGAAAATCTTCTTAGCTTCTTAACACTTCCATTCATAAGTGTTTCTCCTGTTTTCCATATTACTGGAAGCAGTTCTGAGCTAAACAGAGGTCTGCTTCGTCCAGCCTCTGGTAACATTTATGTTCCCAAAGCCCCCATTGACAGCTTGAGGGTTGTGACATGAAGCCCTTTGAGGCCCTGTGCTTGCTAACACTCTCTTCAAGGGAATTACAGTTTTTGTTTTGTTTGGGGATCACACCCAGTGATGCTTAGGAGCTACTCCTGGCTCTGCATTCAGGGATCACTCCTGGTGGGCCCAGGGGACTATATGAGGTGTTGGGGATCATTCAGCCTTGGGTTGGCCACATGCAAGGCAAGTGCCCTTCCCCCATACTATCTCTATGGCAATAGTATTTATATGCTCTTTTTGTTAATGCAGTACCGAACTCCCAGGCATCATCATCCTTTCCATTTACTGACTGGTGCGTAATGAGTGTAATGCAGAAAGCCAAAACCTAATGGCTTATAGCAGTCATCGCATTGGGGTCCGGAATGTGGCTGCCTCGCATATGGAGGTACCAGGTTTGATCCCTAGTACCACAATGCAATACCCAACAGTGAGCGCGGATGTTTGTATTTAGGGCCGAGCCTGTGAGCTGCAAGGAGCCCGGCAAGGCAGGTCAAGGCTGGATCTGCAGTCACCTGGGCTTGCTCACTTACTATTCAAGTGGCCAGAACTGGTCGTCAGGTGGACTGGAAGTGGGGACTCCACACAGCATCTTCCCCCAAGGCCCTTCAGGTGGTCCAGCATTCGGATAGCCGGGTGTCATAGTCAGATATCCATGTGGTCCAGCGTTCTGATACCTGGGTGTCATAGTCAGATGTCTTGAGAGATGTGAGAGCTGTGTCACCATCTTGTGTGACTTAGCTTTGCAAGTTAGGGTATGTGACTTCTAGATCAGTTGGGTCACAGAGCCTCCACTGGTCTTTAAGGGGAGAGGAAGTAGATCCCCACCCACATCCCTTTACGGAGGGGCAGGGGCCAGCAAGGCTTTGTAAGAACATATGGTTTCATTCACTAGAGGAATACAATCTATTTTAAAAGATCTGAATATAAATTTTAAACACAAATTTTACAACTGAAAAATAGTGTCTGGAATTCAAACTTCTCTAATCTTGACATAAAAGAAGTAGCAAGGAAAGAATTCATAAACTTGAAAATAATGTGTTACATCTCCCTTTCTCTCCCTTTTTATCTGTTAGTATTGGGGCATACCACGTTCATTTTCTTTGAATCTTTATGTTTCCATGTGGGCCTTTCCTCTCCTTTTACACGTATCTATTAGATATTTCTCGGAGAACCAGCTTAATGTTGAAGAATTCCTTTGACAGTTGGTTTTCTGAAAAGTTCTTGATTGTTCCTTTTAAACGGAATGGTCACCTAGCTAGTGGATTATTCTTGGGCAGAATCCTCTTCCCACCATCATTTTATTTTTTCTTGGTTTGGGGGGGGGGTCACACCCTGCAGTGTTCAGGGCTTAATCCTGGCTCTGCACCCAGGGATCATTCCTGTCGGGGTTTAGGACTGGGGCAGGGAGGGGTCATATGTGATGTCAGAGTCAAACCTGGGTTAGCTACTTGCAAGGTAAGTGTCTTTCTGCTGTCCTACCAGTTTGGCCCCCTGCTTAATGTATTGTTCTAAACTAATACTGTGCTTCAGTAAATGGCTGTTAACTTCAGCATTTTTGAGTTTGGATCAGACCAGTGCCTAATTTTAGGATTCTTGTATTGTGTGAGAAATTAAGTAATGTTTTCGACTGACAAAGTGTTTTCCCTGAGACAGACTCACTGTCATTAAGCTGGCCTCGGTGCTGCCTCAGTTTCCTTCCTTGTTTTCTTTTGCAGCGGTGAGCCCCTGAGTCCCGAGTTGGTGTCGGCCGTGTCGGCTGTCGCAGACTCTCTGCCCTTCGACAAGCAGACGACCAAGTCAGAACTGCTTAGGCAGCTCCAGCAATATGAGAAGGAGTCCAGGGCCCAGAAAGAAGGAGAAAGACCCAAAATTAGGTGAGTGCCTCAGTCTGTCGTGCCTGCTGGCACCTCAGAGTAGGCTCTTTCCTGGGACTGGTGAGTACAATTAGACACACTGTATTCCTGTGTGTAGATTACATATTTACTATAAGAGATGACTCATAAAGTGAATAGCATTAGTTTTTTTTTTTTAAACTCGTATCTTTAGTAAGATTTCAGGATTTTGTTTGGTTTCTGAGGGGCATTGTTTGGGCCAGTGCTCAGGGATCACTGCTGGTGGTCCTCACAAGACCATATGTGGTGCTAGGAATTGAACTGGGGTTGGCACCATGCAAGGCAAACACCTGTACTATCTCTTTGGCCTCAAGATATTAGTTTATTTCATGCCCAGTGAGTGCTGGAGAGGTAATACAGCACGTATGTGAGGCACTTGCCTTGCACACGGCTGACCAGGCTTCCATTCCTGCACCCCATGTAGCTCGCCAAGTCCCTCCAGGAGTGATCCCTGAGCACCACTGGGTGTGACCCAAAAACCAAAAAAAGTTGATTATAAAAATGAAAGCCAAGATATTATTCCTGGCTCTGCACTCAGAAATTATTCCTGGCAGTGCTTGGGGGACCATATGGCAAACACCCTACCCGCAATTGAATGGTTAAACTTTAGTTTTACAAAATTATACTGTTTCCTGTCTCTGGAGAAGAAATAGTAAATTTAGAAAAGCAATCATGCATATGTAAAAGGGTAACACAGTTTCTGTGAGATTTCTTGATATTAAATAACTTACAAGGGGCTGGAGCAGTAGTACAGCGGGTAGGGCATTTGCCTTGCACTCAGCTGACACGGGTTCTATCTCCAGCATCCCATATGGTTCCCCCTGAGCACGGCCAGGAGTAATTTCTGAGTGCAGAGCCAAGAGTAGCCTGTGAGCATTGCTGGGTGTGAACCCCCCCCTCCCCACACACACACACCCAAGTAAATAAATAAATTGCTAGTTTTATGAACATTGAGGTAAGTGTTAGGCCCGATCCCTTCCTGGTTTCTTACTGTGGTGCTCTGACATCTTTCCCCTCAGCCTCTCATCTTCAGACTCCTCTTGCCAGGTTTGAATGCTGCCGACATGAAGTCAGTGGTTATGCTTTGCATTGGAGAACATCCAAAGACTTGAACGGGATGTGTACCAGATTTATCCTGGAAACTGAGAATAATACATACAAATGACTAGACTGTCTCTTGTATCACTTGTTTAGGGCCAGGGAGATAGTTAAAAGCGCTGAAGCACATGTTTTGCATGCTATGTGCTCATTTTGAATCCCTGTAACTCCATGTTCTTGTGAGCATGGCCAGGAGCAAGCCCTGATAACTGGTGTAGGAGTAGCCTCAGAAGACCGCAACCTATGGGGCCCCCTCCCCAGAAATCACTTCTTTATATTATCATGATGTAAGACAGCAACTTAAAGGTGCCTAGATTTCTAGAATGTTTAAACATAGTTGGTATGCATACAGATGTTGATTGCATGTCAGTAAAATTCTCTGTATGTTTATTTGTAAATGATATGTTTATGTTTTAAATGAATGTTTGTTTTGTTTTGACCACACCCAGCCAGACTGAGGTATTGCTTCTGGCTCTGAACTCAGGAATTATTCCTGGCAGTGCTCTGGGGATCATATGGTAAACCCCGGCAGGCCCCTAAATCAACATTTTTTTAAGAGCATCTTTAAAATACAAAGGAGGGACTGGGGAGGTAGAGCAAGTGCTAGAACTCATGCCCAGCCTGTGCAGAGCCCTGAGTTCGTTTCTGGTACTGCATGGCCCTTGAGCACAGCTAGAACTGCTCAGGTGGCCCTTGAGCACCCCTGGCCCCTCCTAACAAGGTCTTCTGGGAGTGGCCCCTGTTAAAAAGAAATAAACATATTTTTTATGGAATATGAATTTTCATATTTGACATTCTTATTTAAACATAATCTTTTTCTGAAATTGTGCATAGAAATGGGGAAAAATTAATTTGATGCTTACCATGGTTTGGAGGTGGGTGGGAGTGGCCAGGGGCACTGGTGGGGGTGTGGTATTGGAACACTCTGTATAATTAAAATCATAGTGCCTAAAGTTTAAAAAGATATATATATATATCTTTAAAGACTTAAAAAGACAGGAATCCTAAGTTTAAGATGGTGCCTTTACTGTCCCTTTTCTGGTTTTAGTTTCAGTAACCTAATATCGGATATGAAAGTCGCTCGGAACACCACAGCAAGAGTCAGTACAAGGCCAGTGCATCAGATCCAGTTTGACGAAGGCACTGACCATATTCTTCTGGGTGAGAAGACGATCGACATGAGAAATAGGTATTCAGACTTTGCAGTCTGTTTGCTCTTATCTACTGACTGTAGTGCCCATTATTGCTAACTCTTTGCACATTACAGATGCACTTTCCTCGTGTACCATTTTCTAGAGATGGAAAGATGTTCTGGGTTTCGCCCTCTATTTATGGTACGTTTTCCTACAGCATTCCTCTGAACCACCCTCCCTCTCATGGGGCCTCTAGGAGCAGCTCCTTCCTGATTTACAATAACTGGCACTGACTGACTGTATTCTAAACAATGGGCATCTTGTGAGAAGCAGTAGTTTTCATTCTGTGGCCCTAACAATTATTCATATATTCTTCATATCTCTGTATATACATTCTTCTTCATAGTTCGAGAGAAGACAAAGGAAGGAAGGAAGCTCTGGTATAGGAACCAGGGAGATAGCTCTGAGGCCTGGCGCCCCTGCCTTCTGCCATCCATAATTCCTGGCACCAGACACCCCACCTCCACCCTCCACTGTTCATTGTCGCCCTGGAGGCCTCTGAGTACTGCTGGGCCCTGGTGGCTCTCAGCACTGGTGGCCCTGAGCATTGAACTCAGGCCTGAGCAGCTGGGCCAAGCCTCGAATGGCGTGGCCCCTGGTCCCCCTGTGCCATGCTCAAGGGGGAGCATTCTTCCCCGCTGCACCCCACACTCAGCAGCCCAGCATAAGACCTCCAGGGGAGGGTGACTGTGGCAGTGTGAATTTCATGTTTTGCAGGCCAAGATGAAATCCAGGCAGGGCTTCATTAGCATACACGTTTTTATTTTTCAGTAGAAAACTGTTTGCATTTACAGAAAGTTTCTGTTTTCTCCTTTCTACCAGCTGTAAGGTAGTAGTGGAAAGAAGGGAACAGACATTTAGTGTGTTTTAACAAAAACAAGTTCCCTCTGTAGCATACCCTGCCGCATCACTGAAGCATTTTCAGTGTGTGTTCGATGAATTTTTATTTATTCATGGTACACCTGGTGGTGCTCAGGGATCACTCCTGGAGGGACTTGGGGGACCATACGGGATGCTGGGGATTGAACTCAGGTCAGAGGTGTGCACGGCTTGCAAGTGCCTTACCTGCTATAATATCGCTCTGGCCCATCCATGGATTTTGTTTTAAGTGAAATCTAAGGAACTTGGGTAATTTCCTTATGCTGTGCAGTAGACTAATTTGTACAGGGAGATTAGAAAAGATGGGTAGCAGTTAATATTGTTAAGAGGTCACAGTGGTTTGGAAAATTACTCTGATTACTAATTTTCTAGCACTGTCACTGTCCTCCCATTGTTCATCGATTTGCTTGAGCGGGCCCAGTAACGTCTCCATCGTGAGACATGTTGTTCCTATGTTTGGCATATCGAATACATCACGGGTAGCTTGCCAAGCTCTGCCATGCGGGCGAGATACTCTCGGTAGCTTGGCGGGCTCTCCGAGAGGGGTGGAGGGATCGAACCCAGGTCTGCCAGGTTGGCCGCATGCAAGGCAAGAGCCCTACCACTGTGCTATAATTTTAACTTTTTATCATGGCTTATTAGTAGAACACATACCTGGAATTTTATATCAGATTCCTTACGAATATTTAGCCTTAGGCTAAGGAGACAGTTGGAACTGCGAAAGGCGAACTGCTTAGCATGCCAGAGGCGCAAGATGAATCCCCAGCACCCAGGGTGACCCCTGAGCAGTGTGGAAGCAGCCTCTAATGCACTAACAGGTGTAGCCCCAAGACAAACACAGAGGAATATTTAACTTCAGTCTTCTTTGAATCTTTGAATTGATTCCCTGTAGCTATTAGAATGCTGCAGCATACTTGATTTTGAAAAATACTTTTTTTGAAATTAGAGATTTCAAGGGAGAAACTAATAGGGAAGGGTTGATGTACAAGAAACTGACTAAAGTCCTCCGGAATACGGGGAAGCAGTGAGGTACCAAGTTGCTCACCGATTTCTGACTCGGATGATCCTGAGATAACCCCGCCTGCACTGAGCCCCAGAATAGTGGAACATCCTGGGCCAAATTCTGCAGCTGAGGATGGAGAGTGGGGAGGCATGGGGCAGTGGCCACCTCCAAATCAGTGCTGGGCTACTGGCTGCTGCGAGGACTTTGCGACGTCAGAGGCCCCTTCCTGACTGCGCTGACTGCCCCTGGGGAAGGTGCTTCCTGAGAGGATCCTATTCTAAATGACTTTCTGCTGGGCTGGAAAGCAAGATGGACTAAGATGATTGTGTTACAGGTGGCCAACCCCAATTCAGTTCCCCGAGCTCTGTCAAGATTGATCCCGAGTACAGCCAGGAATGGCCTCAAACGAATTTTTTTTTGTGGGGGGGGGTCACACCCGGCAGTGCACAGGGGTTACTCCTGGCTCTGCAGGAATTACCCCTGGCGGTGCTCAGATAACCGTATGGGATGCTGGGAATTGAACTCGGGTTGACAGCGTGCAAGGCAAATGCCCTACCCACTGTGCTATCGCTCCAGCCCCTCAAAAGAATTTTTTAAAACAATTTTTCTTGGGGACTGGAGCAACAGTATAGTTGGTAAAGTGCTTGCCTTGTTTTTTGTTTTTTTGTTTTGTTTATTTTTTGCTTTTTTGGGGGGGGGGGGGTCACACCCAGCGATGCACAGGGGTTACTCCTGGCTCTTCACTCAGAAACCACTCCTTGGCGGTGCTCAGGGGACCACATGGGATGCTGGGGTTGGCCGCATGCAAGACTTGCCTTGTTTGTGGCCTATTCAGATTTGATCCCCAGCATCTCAGATGGTCCCCTGAGCACCACCAGGAGTGATCTCTAAAACTGCTGGGTGTGGCCAAAAAAAATAAGACATTTGAGGAATAGGGAAAAAACATGCATAAACTACATAGTGAATGCACAGTAAATGTCCATTCTTACCTTTTCCACTCTATCAAGTGTGTAATCACCAGGCGACTGGGGAGCCCTGTGGCTCTCCCTCGTTGCCTGCGTTCAGTGGTCTTAGGCCATTCCCCTCCTAGGACGGCCAATGCCATGGGCAGGTGCAGGAGGAAACGAGGGCCAGGCTGCTTGGTGATCAGTTGCTGTTCCTTCCATTCTCCCCGCGCACCTGTTCCAGTCTCACTGAACCCCTCATTCTAGTCTCACACTGTCTCCTTTTGTCTCCCGCTCATCTCTCTGCCCTCCATCTGGCTACCTGGTGTCTCCCTCTCCCTCCCCTTCCGCTCCCTTTCCCTTCCCTCTCCCTCCCCCTCCCTCCCAGCCTTGGGGGTAGCACAATCAACATACCAAAAGCCCTTCCTGATCAACAATCAGGCACTAGGGAGGAAATACCACCTACAGGTGTTTCTCCACTCCTTGATCCAGTAGCTTAATTAACATCTTAATTCTACTTCTTAGTATTAGTTATTTTGTATGGACACAGTGAAAGGAATATATTAAGCCTGTACATTAAGGCTCTCCTGGGGACATCTCACTATAGATCTCAGACTACAGTGCTCAGCCAGATTAATCTTTCCTAACCCTAGCAGGATCCTAATCCAGATGCTACTTTTTGGATCAGGACAAAATCTGTCCATGACTAGGCTCTTAACTTATAGTTAAGTACTACAGCGCTTTTGCCTGGCCCATTTTGATGCCAGTGTAGCATACAGCTTGCCCCGGGTCCATCCAGTCCCTCATCAGGACCCTGCTTTTGGGGTGCTAGGAAGTAAGAGAGAACAGATGCCGGGGCTGGAGAGATAGCACAACGGGTAGAGCGTTTGCCTTGCATGCGGCCGACCCAGGTTCGATTCCCAGCATCCCATATGGTCCCCTGAGCACCACCAGGAGTAACTCCTGAGTACATCGCCAGGTGTGACCCCCCCCCAAAAAAAAAGAGGGGGCTGGAGCAATAGCACAGCAGGTAGGGCATTTGCCTTGCATGCGGCCAACCCAGATTCGATTCTCAACCTCCCATATGGTCCCCTGAGCACCACCAGGGGTAATTCCTGAGCACAGAGCCAGGAGTAACCCCTGTGCTTTGCCCGGTGTGACCCAAAAAGCAAAAGAAAAGAGAGAGAAGAGAGAGAGAGAGAGAGAGAGAGAGAGAGAGAGAGAGAGAGAGAGAGAGAGAGAACAGATGCCCAGGAGTGAATATCATTTGGAGTCAATTAACTCCCAAGTGACAAAAGCATAGCAATAACTGTCTTTCTGTATCTCTACAAAAAGGACTTTGCTCTGAATTAACTATGCAAAGGGCTTAAGGAGAAAGGAAAAGCAATATTTACAAATTAAGAGTCTGGTTAGGAGATAAAGGTAATTGACCAGTTGGGGGAAGCAGAGCACAAAAAAAAGAGGTTACAAATAAACACAGAGGAATGGGAGCACTGTGATGGGAGTAACCCAATAAGCCTAAGCTCCCTGTGGCAAGGCAGAAAGGACAAACCAATATTACCCTTCTTTCGAGCACTTTTGTGTGTTTTTGTTTGCACCACAAGGCTTGAACCTGGAGATACGTTGCTCTGCCCCTGAGCCACGTCCCAGGTCCCTGGCAGGACTTCCTTTAATCCAGTAGCCTACCCACCTGAGAGGAATCTGGGTGAATGCCGATGGGAAAAAGCATTAAAGGCACTGAGGGTAGCTTGGAATATCCATGACTCTGGTTAGAGATATCAAATATAAATAAATGTCTCCTACAAGAAAACATGTGATTTGATATCACTTTGCCTAATTTTAAGGCTGTGTTTGTATTTTTATTTCATTTAATTTAGTAGAAAAAAGATAATTTGATCCAAAAGGATTCAAAAACATTTTAAAAATTGACGCTCCTTTAAGGACTAGAGAAATTGGGGTTAAAGCAGTTGCCTTAACCCTAGTTTGATCTTGACACTGCATATGGGCCACCAGGAGCAATCTCTGAGCACTGCCAGTATGATCCACGTCCCCCAAATTAAATTAACCATCCCTCCCCATTTATAAACTGATTTGGAATGTGCCAGTAAATTTTTTTCAAGGGCATGAATCTATACCCAAAGCATAAACATTTGATTGAAGTAGACCAGGAAGATGTTTCCTGTTAGCTCTCTGACATTAATTTCAATAGTTAATTAAAAATAATTATGTACAGAAAGTTAATAATTTCAAAATTGTAAGATGATTGCTTCATCCACTGTAGGGTTTTGATTTATCTTTTTTTTTTTTTTTTTTTGGCTTTTTGGTCACACCCGGCGATGCACAGGGGTTACTCCTGGTTCATACACTCAGAAATTACTCCTGGCTGTGCTCAGGGGACCACATGGGATGCTGGGAATTGAACCCAGGTCGGGCCGAGTGCAAGGCAAACACCCTACCCACTGTGCTATCACTCCAGCCCCTTGATTTATCTTTTATAATTTTAATTAAACACTGCAGTGTTTTCTTTTTTTTTTTTCTTTTTTTTTAAAATTTCATTGAATCACTGTGAGATAGTTACGAGCTTTCATGTTTGGGTTACCATCACACAATGATCAAACACCCGTCCCTCCACCATTAAACATTCCCGACCACCAGTGTCCCCAGTAAATCCCCCCAACCCCCCTTTCCCAACCTCTCCCTGCCTCCATGGCAGACAATATTCCCCATACTCTCGCTCTACTTTTTCGCGTTATGGATTGCAATACACACACTCAGAGGTTCTCATGTTTGGTCCTTTATCTGCTTTCAGCCCATATCTCCCATCCCAACCGATTCCTCCAGCCATCTTTTTCTTAGCGATCCCGTCTCTATTCCAGCCTTCTCCCCTTTGCTCCTGAGGTAGGCTTCCAGCTATGGAGCAGTCTTCCTGACCCGTGTCTCTACCATCCTTAGGAGTCACCTTCCTTTTACGTTGTTTTATTCTCCACAAATGAGTGCAGTCCTTCTATGTCTGTCCCTCTCTTTCTGACTCATTTCACTTAGCATGATACTCTCCATGTCTATCCATTTATAAGCAAATTTCATGACATCATCTCTCCTAACAGCTGCATAGTATTCCATTGTGTAGATGTACCAAAGTTTCTTTAATCAGTCATCTGTTCTAGGGCACTTGAAGTTGTTTCCAGATTTTGGCTATTGTGAACAGTGACATTGCAGTGTTTTCTTTACTTAAACTTAAGTCAAGTGTTGACTTTAATACCTCTACCTTAACATTTTCTTGATATTTTTCTACAACATTGGATTTTCTAAATTTTGTTTGTTCTGATTTGGGGCTACACCCTGCAGTGCTGAGGTCTTTCTCCTGGCTCTGCACTCAGAGATCATTCTTGGTAGGAATGGAGACCATATGGGATGCCAGGAACTGAACCTGGTCGGCTGTGTGCAAAGCAAGTACTCTCCCACTGTATTATCTCCCTAGCCCTGGATTTTCTAAATTCTTAATATTAAATGGGTTAACTTAAATTGTGACAAATTAAGCTAACCTTTACAATGAAGTGTTTGAGGAATTAAACTGCTCTCACCGTTTTATTGTATTATAAAGCAAAAATTGAAGTGCATTTTTCCCTGTTTCAGTCAGTGGTCCTGCAGTCTTGAGAGATCAGTTAAGAGTAGTGTAGGTCAGTAGATTTATTTTAAATTGTAGATTAACTGGTGCATGTAAAAACTTCTCATAAACATTTTGTTGATTGCGTATAAGTATTCGTTAAAATTGTTTTCTTTTTAGTATTAAGAGAAGTATATCCAAGGGGAAGAGACTTAACATTTTTGAGCCGAAGACAGACACTGCAGAGGCACCCAAAGCAGGTTTGTTAAGAAAAGAACTCTGGGACCAGAGATGGTACCGTGGGTGGCCGGGGCACTGGCCTTGCTGGGGCCGACCTGGGTTCCCTCCCTGACATCCCTTATCCCTGACATTCCTGAATGCAGAGCCAGGAATAAGCTCTGATCACGGCCAGTGTTACCCAAAAACAAAACAGAAAGAAAGGTGGATGGGAGGAGGGAAAAAAGGAACTCCACTATTTCTGTGCTGTAGAAACGTGTCATCTTTCCTTCTTCACAAAGTTTCTGAATGCTTTGAGGGCATACTGGTTGGGCATTTTGAGATCTCATCTTGTCACTAGCCTGGCTCATGTTTATGAAGTTCCCCGATGTTCTTGGTTTTGGTCAGTTTGGAATGCTTTGCAGAGACCCTACACTTATTTTGCTTTCTGCCCCCTGGGGGGGGGGGGGGGGGGGACAGCCCAATTCTCCCCTAGAAATATATTGGGTTTTTTTGTTTGTTTGTGGCCGCAGCCAGCTGTGTTTGGGGTTCCTCCCAGCTCTGTTTTATTTGGGCCAAACTGTTCAGAGGCTTGAACTCCCTCAAGCAGGCCCCCAGCCTTCCGAGCTATCTCCCACCTAGGAAATCGCGACACTTGCTGCCATCCCCAGGTGAGGCACTTGGATTTTTGAAGGATCTTGCTTTCTTTTGTGTTTCGCTTTGTAATTTTTAAGTCTGAAATCTTATTTGCGAAACAAATACTGAAATTCAGATAAAAATATCCATTTTATTAAAAAGTAGAAAATTAGTGTATTTCAGTAAAGAAAATTATGTGCAAATTTATGAAAGTGGACTCGAAGCCAGTTCTGTTTTAGTGAGTGGTAATTGCATGAGTCTAAGGACTGTCTTTTGTTGCCAGTTGACATTTGATGACTCCTCTTTCCTCCCACCGCCAATAATGCCTGACCCCTAGTTGGCATTCAGTAATTCCCTATTGGTTCACTGAGCTTCTCTGTCCCAGGCCAGCCTGCTGAGTTCTTTCTGCTGTTGCCACAAGTTCCTCCTGCTGACTCTGGAGTCAGCTCCAGCCGAGAGAGAGTGTGCAGCAGTAGGAAGAGCTTTGGTGCTGGGTAGATCTCAGTCCATATTTCAGTTCTGCTCTGTGAACCTCTCTGAATTTCCCTTTCTTGGCATAAAGTAGGTGTAATGCATACTTTTTGAGGATTAAACAAGGTAAGAGAAATCTCGGGCAAAGGGCAAGAGGCATTCAGTAAGTGTTCACAGCTACTCAGCAGTGTAAGAATAGCAGTCATGATGGAAAGGACATAGGCTGGTCAGTGTCCACTGGATACATGCTTTAAATATGACCAGGATAAATAAGTAATGTTTTAGTTGCTCTGCAGATATCGCTGATTAGCCCAACTTGAGTCATTGTTTCTCTGCATCAGGTGTCCAAGGCCAGTGGACTCAGTTTCCAACAGTTAATTGTGTGACCAGTTAATTGTGTACACCCCAAAACTCATAGAAACCGGGCAGGTAGGTCACTTTCTTTGCATGCAGCCAACCCTGGGTTCCATCTCCGGCACCCTATATGGTCCCCTGATTGCTGCCAGAAGTGATCCCTTAGCACCGGCAAGTGTGACCCTCAAAACAATAATAACAAAGTAAAAAAAAAAGGAAAAGAAAAGAACCAACTTAGAAAGAGCACACTCTAGGAAGAATAAATGAGCAGGTAAACCAATGCACCTCCCTGTCGGATGCTGTAGAACTGTCTCAACAGTTAGCTCTGTCCCTTTCAGACAGTGACTTCAGAGCCTAGGCCCTCGACTCTTCTGCTGCGTGTGGCTTCTTACTCATCAGAGGTTTGAGATTTACCAGTACTGTTGCATCTGCCGGGACTTTGTCTATAGTAGCAGGTGTTTGTAGGAATGTACCATGTCTGTGTTCACTCACCTTTGGTGGGTGTTCTGATTGTTTCCACTTTGTACCTTTTACAAATATAGCTGTTATTCGTCAATTGCCTCGAGCAGGCCCCAGTAACGTCTCCTTCATCCTAGCCCTGAGATTATATTCAAGTCTCTTTAGGAGAATGAGACCCATCAATGTTACTGGTATTTGGCATATTTGGTATGCCACGGGGAGTTTGCCAGACTTTGCCCTATGGGCAGGCTACATTCAATAGCCTGCAAGTTTGTCCGAAGTAGGAATGAGATAATAAGATGTCATAAAAAGATGTCCTGATAAGATGTTGCGCGACCGCAAATGCGGCCGTGCAGTTCCGGGAGCTGGGTTTTATAGTCTCTGAGTCTTGGCCGTTGATGGGATTACACGGCGCCAGGGGGCCAGGTGGTGGGTGTGACCCCTGCCTACTGGAATTTGGAGGATCTGGGTGGAAGATGCTCGACTCCAATTCGAGTAGGCTTGGAGGTCTCGGCCCCGGAACCCGCGTGGCTTTGTCCCTCTGCCAGTACCTTCATGTGTGCGGAGAGTGGTCTCAGCATGGTGGTGGCTGGTCCTGGAGGTCTTCGGCTGCTGGAGCCCTGGTCGGGGCGGGGAGGAAAGCTCAACCCGCTCCCCTCCAAGGGACCCCGGCGAGGAACAGCCAGGCGCAGGGGCAGGAGACTGCTTGAGCTTTTATGTACAGGTCTTTGTGTTGTTTTCTTTTGGGTATTATCTAGGAGTAAAGCATTATCTATCTATCATTAGCTGTTTCAGAAATTGCACCGCCCTTTTCCAAAGTGTTGTACCATTTTACCATCCCACTAGCAGTGGCTAGTAGAAATAGGACTTCTTGGGTTTCCCAATAAAAGATGGCTTCCCTTCTATAGAAATCACTCAGCACCCCACCCCGCCTGGAACTTTACCTACTGTAAATAGGGAAAACAAAAGCGCTCCCTGTTGTGCCTAAAGGCACTCCTACACCCCCCCTCCACACACACACACACACCCGGGACTTTGGACAGGGAGGGGAACATTGCTCCAGAGGCTGATTACCTGGCTTGCCATGATTCTAGTTGATACACTGTAGAACTCTCCTCCCATTGTTCAGTTGTTCATTGATTTGCTCCAGCAGGCACCAGTAACATCTCCATTGTGAAACTTGTTACTGTTTTTGGCACATCGAATATCCCAGGGGTAGCTTGCCATACTCTGCCATGCGAGCGGGTTACTCTCAGTAGCTTGCTGGGCTCTCCAAGAGGAAAGGAGGAATCGAACCCAGGTCAGCCGCTTGCAAGGCAAACACCCTACCCGCTGTGCTATGATTCTGCAACTGATTCTAGTTGTAGTCTTATATTTTATATTTGTTTCAGTGGCGCTCTCAAAGAGTGAACTACTGCTGAATTAGGAGCATCAGTTGGAAATGTAAGACCAAATCAGAGTTAAGCATAGCACTTTAAAAAAAAAATTTTTTTTTCATTGTGGGCCACACCTATGCTCACACTGTGCTCAGGGCTTACTCCTGGCTCCGCACTCAGAAATTACTCCTGGTGGGACCATATGGGATGCTGGGGATCAAACCCAGGTGGGCCACTTGCAAAGCAAGTACCTTTCCACTTTATTCTGTCTACTGTACTACCTACCACTCTAGCCCCTAACGATAGTACTTTTATAAAGAAAGCGACTTACTTTGACTTGTGCCTATATACAATGCTTTTATTACACAGAGACGGCCCCTACACTTTGGGATGTGGAATTTGCGAAGCAGTTAGCCACAGTAAACCAACAACCCTTTCGGAATGGTTTTGAAGAGATGATCGAGTGGACAAAGGAAGGGAAACTGTGGACATTCCCAATTGACAATGAAGCTGGTAAGTCAGAACCGCAGAGGTCTGATGAAATTTCAGTAATTGGATAATCTCTGGCATATGTTCTGTTATAGGATCTAAACTTTTGCGTCAATGTCAAAACTCTGGAGAAATAGTTCTTCGTGTCCTGAAAGAAATCTAACAGTTACTTTTAAAAGAATATTAAAGTTTTACTTAGTTATAGGTGTTTGAGAAGGAAAATAAAGTAAAAGGCCCTCCCGTTGATCATCGATTTGCTCAAGCGGGCCCAGTAACGTCTCCATTGGAGACTTTGTTGTTACTGTGTCTGGCATATCGAATACTCTCGGTAGCTTGCCGGGCTCTCCGAGAGGGGCGGAGGAATCGAACTCGGGTCAGCCATGTTGGCTGCATGCAAGGCAAACGCCCTACCCGCTGTGCTATCGCTCCAGCCCGAAGAAATAAAATTATATGATAAATGTATCGTGAATTTCTTTTAATGAGTGTTGAGTACTCCAAATGAGGGTAGTTGCTAAGATTATTTGGAAATCTAACATATTTAAGTATTGGATTAGAAGATAAATTCCATTTTGGAGAACATTATAGTTCTTATGCTTGTGGTATCTTGTATTTGCAAAACCATTGCATTAATGAGGTGCAAGGTATTTCTACATAAAGCCAATTAAAGCAAAAGTGCTAGGAGGCTTTGAAATTCTATTGAACTCTTTGGCTTATGTACCTAGATGCTTTAAACTAATAGTAAATATTACCTGATTTCCTGGGGATTTTTTTCAAGGATAGTAGCTCTTCGTCCATTCAAAGAAGAGCAGTATAGCCATGTTACTACTTACTATTTTTCCTTTAGGGGACCCACGTTGTCATCAGTTAAATGTGTATATTGAATTCTTTTAGTTGGAGGAGGGGGAGGTGCTATAATCTGAACTTGTCTTGAGGCCCCACCTGGTGGAACTCAAGGTTTACACTCCGGCCTTTTGCTCAGGGATCACTCCTGTAAGTACTTTAAGGATTCGTATGTGATGGCGAGGATTGAACCCTATAGGCTATATACAAGGCAAGTACCTTTCCTGCTGTCTTCTCTTTGGCCCTTCTAGGTATATTTACAATTCGAAGAGAGCTGTGTACTGTTTTTTGTTTGTTTGCTTTGGGGACCACACCCAGCAGTGATTGGGACTTAGTCCTGGCTCTGCACTCAGGGATCACTCAGGATGGGGCACAGGGACCATATGGGGTACTGTGGATTGAATCCTGATTGGCTGCATTACAAGACTCCAACCCCAGATTTTTAAATCTTAAAATATTAGCGAGGATACTTTATTTTCCCAGATTTATAAATCTTAAATATTTACGAGGATACCCAGTAAGGTAATAGAAAAGCATGCCATTAGTGGTACAATGTCTTCAATAGTTTAACACTTAAATTTTTCAGATTCTTGAGTGTTCTAATTCCAAAGCAATTTAATCAGAGCCAGAGGGGTAGTACAGCAGGTAGTGTTTTTGCCTTGCACACAGCCAACCTGGGTTCGATCTCCAGCATCCCATATGGTCCCTGTCCCCTGCCATGAGTGATCCATGAGTGCATAGCCGGGAACAACCTCTGAGCACTGCCAGATATGACCCAAAAAAGCAAAAGAGGAAAAAAAAGGAAATTTAATCTTAATTTTGGCCTGTTTTTTTTTTTTAAGGTTAAGGAAAAAATACATGTATTTCAGCCTGGCTGTGGAGATAAGTGTGACATGCAGCCATGCACACGTTATCAATGCATCACAGTCAGAGGGGAGGTGTCTCTTTCTGACTAGGGCAGTTGTTATCTGGATGAATAATAGGAACAGAGTACACTTTCTCACTTTGATCACTCCCCACAGCACATGCGTAGGAAATTCTGAGTACCAGGAGAGATTCGGGACCAGAGAGAGCCTTAAGTACTTTAATAACTTTATTTCTTACTCTAAATTTGTAAGATTGATAAACTAGGCTCTCTCTGCAGATACTAGCTTCATGAATACCTATGGTGCGCTATCTTTGTGTCCCAAATGAAAGCTGTTTTTAAAATGCTAAGAGTAATTTTAAGTATGGAGAGTTGCTGGGACAAAAATAGCCCCGTCCTGGAAAACAGTCACCCTTTTGTTTTTATTCTTCAGCTAGCTTAAACTTTTCCACTTCTGCTGTGACACCCTTTGATATTTATGGAGAACATGTTGTAATCTGAGCTTGTGAGAAGAGTCTGACAGTTTGAGATCACCATAAAAAGTGGGTTCTTCTGATTACCATAAAAAGAGGGTTTCGGCCTGGAGAACATAGGGGTGGGTATAAAGATTGTTAGATATAAAGATTATTAGGTCCATGTCAGCTGAACTGGTCTGACAGTTGTTGCCGATGAGACAGGCAGCCTCCAGCGACTAACAGTGATGGTGAGCACAAGTAGAGGTTGTGCAGAGTGAGAGTGAGTGAGACTTGGTCTGCCTCGTAAAAGTCCCTGTCACGGCATGTAACTGGATTGCACCCATTATCCGTCATATCTTATTTAGGACTGTATTTGCCAGTACTTCATTGCTTTTAGCCTTTGCTTTCCTTGGCGTGTGTCTCCCAAGTGTTGCTCAGGAGACCCAGGAGCCCCTCCCCTTGATGCTTGGCCCGGCCACGATGGTACTTCAATACTGGGGCTCAAGATACGGTGCTGGAGATGGCCAGGGTCACTTCTGGTCATTGTGAGGGGGCCACCAGTGTTGCTGCAGTCAGCAGTGCTCCAGGAGGCCATGCAGTGCCGGGGTTCAAACGGGGGTCCTAGACATGGAAAGCATGCACCCCTAGTCTTGTACTATCTCCCAACCCCTAATTAAAGTTTCTCTCGAGGGGCTGGAGCGATAGCACAGCGGGTGGGGCATTTGCCTTGCTTGTGCCCGACCCAGGTTCGATTCCCAGCATCCCATATGGTCCCCTAAGCACCGCCAGGAGTAATTTCTGAGTGCAGAGCCAGGAGTAACCCCTGAGCATCTCCGGTGTGACCCCCCAAAAAAAAAGTTTCTCTAGAGGCCATTCCCAGTGGTGTGGGCTCAGGGCCCACTTTCAGTTGCTCACTGTGGTGCCATGAGGGGCAGGATACAGTGCTGGAAATTAATTTTTCTTTCTTTTTTTGGAAGGGGGGAGGCAAGGGAGGGGACCACACCCAGTGGTGCTCAGGATTCACTCTCCCTGTGGGTTCGGGGGACCATATGAGATGCTAGAGATTGAAACTGGGTCAGCTGCATGCAAGGCAAGTGCCCTCCCTCTGTCCTTTCTCCTGGTCCTCTCAGCTACTTATATGCTCTGCCACCCAAGTTCTCTCTGGCCCCAAAGCATTTTTATTCTGACTCAGATCTTGATTTTTTTTTTCCTTCTTGATACATGGAAGTCAGCTCTCTTTGTTTTTTTATGATGTTATGAAACCTCTAGATACATAGAGGTCAGCTTTTATTTTGCCTCAATATGTTGTAAAATAAAACATTTTACTTAATAGTTATGTGGTTTTCCATTGTATGAATACATTGGAAATTATTTTACCATTTTTATTTATTTTTTTTGGGGGGTCACACCCAGCAATGCACAGGAGTCACTCCTGGCTCTGCACTCAGGAATTACTCCTGGTGGTGCTCGGGGGACCATATGGGATGCTGGGAATTGAACCCGGGTTGGCCGCATACAAGGCTAACACCCTACCCACTGTGCTATCACTCCAGCCCCCTATTTTAACATTTTCTTTCTGATTGATGGAGATGTAATGGATTTTTATACATGTCTTTTTGTATATATTTGAGTTCTTTTCGTTTCCAAAAGGAGCAAACAACAGGTATATTTTGCTTAATTTTAATTTGTTTGGCTGGGGACCACCCCTGACTGTGCTTGGGGCTCACTCTGGCTCTGTGCTCCTCACTGGGAGAGACCCCGGGTCCGTGTGTGCCGGGGACTGAACCCGAGTCAGCTGATGCAAGGGAAGCGCCTCACCCTTTACCATGTCTCCAGTCCTGTAAACGTGTCTTTTAATTGCAGTAGTTACACATTCTCTTCTAAAAAAAATACCCTGGGGCTGGAGCAATAACACAGCGGGTAGGGTGTTTGCTTTGCACGCATCCAACCCGGGTTCAATTCCCAGCATCCCATATGGTCCCCTGAGTACCGCCAGGGGCAATTCCTGAGTGCAGAGCCAGGAGTAACCCCTGTACATCGCCAGGTGTGACCCAAAACAAAAACAAAAACAAAAAAATAACTAACCTGTCCCCCTAATTACCTGAAGACCCTGTTCTTCATATCCAAACTAATACCAAATATTAATTTTTTAATTATAATTTAAGGAAAATAGTGGTATCATGGGCTGGAGCGATAGCACAGCGGTAAGGTGTTTGCCTTGCACGTGGCCTACAGGGCCGATCCGAGTTCGATTCCTCCACCCCTCTCAGAGAGCCCGGCAAGCTACCGAGAGTATCTCGCCCGCACGGCAGAGCCTGGCAAGCTCCCCGTGAAGTACTCTATATGCCAAACACAGGAGCAACAAGTTTCACAATGGAGACGTTACTAGGCCCGCTTGGGAAAATCGATGAACAACAGGAGAACAGTGACAGTGACAGTGGTATTGTGGGGTTTTGCAGAGTGGGGGCTGAGGGGTATCAGGAGCCACATGCTGGCGGTGCTCAGGGGCTACTCCTGGCCCCATGCTCTGGGGGTGAACCCAGGCCACTGACATGCAGCGCATTTGCACTTGCCCCTTGAGCTATCACCCTGATTTACCCCCTGCACCTCCGCCCCCACCACATCGTTGATGTTACGTACATTTGGTGGGGATTGATTGGGGACCAGGGCTGGAGCGATAGCACAGCGGTAGGGCGTTTGCCTTGCACGCAGCCAACATGGCCAACCCAAGTTCGATTCCTCCACCCCTCTCGGAGAGCCCGGCAAGCTACCGAGAGTATCTCGCCCGCACGGCAGAGCCTGGCAAGCTCCCCATGATGCATTCGATATGCCAAACACACTAACAAGTCTCACGATGGAGACGTTACTGGGCCCGCTCGAGCAAATTGATGAACAGGAGGACCGTGACTGACCGTGACTGATTGGGGGCCACACCCAGAGGAGCTCAGGGTCTTATTTCCAGTGTGGACATTTTCAAATTGCTTGTTTTCATATATGTTGGCTATATTAATTTGTATTTTTCTCTAATTCACCTGTTTTTAGTCTTTGACTTCTTTCCCCCACTGGGTTGTTCTATCATTTTATAAGAACTTGATATATTAGAGACTTGAAATTTGTTTTTCAAATTTCTAAATTACATGTCTAATTCCGTTACTCATTTTTGGTGTTACTCTAAATACCTAAATGTCACACATTCATCCTGCCAACACAGATCATCTTAATTTTTGTTAGATCTGTAGTAATTTTTATTACTGACTAATATTTATAAGTCTCAGGATGCCGATCCTTGGTGGGGGGGTTGAAGTCGTTGTTCTAGGGCAGGGAGCAGTCTCAGAGGACTGCAGAGCATGCTTGCATGTAGGAGCCACGCACCCAGCTGCCGGCACCTGCAGAGGTGCTCCCCAGAGCACTGCTCTGGGCACTGTGCCTGAGCACCTCTGGCCCTGGCCCAAGGAAAAAAGAAATGCTCACTGTCCTAAGCATCATCGGGTTCTTTCACCTGGAAATTTCAGTTTTCAGTTTTGAAGAAATTTTATTTTAATTCACAGTTTTAAAAAAGTAGAAGAAAGCACAAGGAAATGGAAGAATGTTCCATGTTCATAGATTGGAGGACTCAACATGGTCAAAATGAGTACCCTGCCCAAAGCATTATGATGCAGGTTCAGTGCTGTGCCCACCGAGATTCAAGCGGCATTCTCCAGGGACACAGGACCAGTACTGCTAAAATTCCTATCGAACCGTTAAACTCCTGAATAGTGAAAGAAATTCTAAGAAAAAGATGGGCCTTGCATTCCCTGACTTGAAGCTGTTAGAAGGCTGTGGTGATCAAAGCAATATGGTACTGACATAAAAGCACTTTCAAGGGGCTGGAGTGATCCTAGAGCAACTTAAGTGTTTGCCTTGCATGCAGCCATTCTGGGTTCAATTCCCAACACCCCATTTGTCCCCCCCAAACCCACCAGAAGTGACTCCGGAGTGCAGAGTGGTGTTCAGGGCTTACTCCTAACTCTGTGCTCAGGGATCACTCCTGGCTGACTCAGGGACCACCTGGGATGTCAGGGACCTAACCTTGGTTGACCATGTTAAAGGCAAGCACCCTACCCCCTGTACTATCTCTGTGGCCTGATACTTCTGCTTCTAACACTGAATTTCTGAGAACAGGGCCTGGAGAGGTAGTGCAGTGGGTTGGGTGCTTGCCTTGCAAGCAGCCGACCCGGGTTTGATCCCCAGCATCCTATATGATCTCCTGAGCACCACCAGGAGTGAGGTCAGAACCAGGAGTAGTCCCTAAGATCGCCAGGTGTAGCCAAAAAGAATTTCTGAGATTGGGAAACCCCTTCTGCTGGTCAGACATTGGTGAAGTCATGGTCGGCACTGGCGGGTGTCGATGTGCACTAGACTTTCAGAAGACACAGTGGAGAAATCTGAAATAACGCTGCACCGGGAATGCTTTTCATGGTGTGGGACAATTCAAAGTGGCCCCTGGGAGTTGGAAAATCAAGTCAGGATACGGGAATTCTGAGTATGAAGAGGTCTCAGCAGTGCTATAGAACCAACTGTATGTTCGTTTTTGCTGCATGACCAGCCATTTGAAAGCTCAGTGAAAATGATGGGTTTTATCTTGTGGGTTTTCTGGCTGGTTTGGGGAGGTTGCAGGGCTTCTTTTGGGTGCTCTGTTTGTCAGTGGGGAGATGGTGATACCTGGGCTGTGTTGTGCTCATCCTCCTGCAGGCTAGCCTGGACTTGTTCAAGTGGCCACAACACAGGCCCTGACCACAAGAGAAAACAAGTATTGATGTGCAGGCGCTTTTCAGGCCTCCTCATGTTGTGTTTGGAGATACCCCATTGGCCAAAGCAGATAACCCGGTCAACTCCCAAATTCAAGTGTCGAAGAAACAGGCTCTGTTTCTGCGAAGAATGGCCAAGTGCACTGGAAAGGGGCCGTTGTACATGAAGGCCATGACACGACAGCATGTGACAATATGCCACGTGGGCTCATTTTTGACAGGCTTTAGGTTTTACAAAAGTAGTGCAAATGATCTGTTTTCCAAAAGTATTGTAAAAGATCTCTTCACTGTTCAAAATTGTACTCGTCTGTCAGTAACAGAATAATTCAGAGTGATAGAAAATTTCAAATCCTTTTGGGATCAGGCTGGAGCCATAGTACTGTGGGTAGGGCGCTTTCCTTGCCTGTGACTGACCTGGGTTCACACCGCAGCAGCCCATATAGTCGGTCTCTTGAGCACCGCCAGGTGTGATTCCTGCTTGCAGAGCACCGTTGGTGTGGCCTCAAAACAAAAACAGTAGCATGTGGATTCACATGGTGTTACGAGGAATAATAAATGTCCCATTTGTCCTTTACCAATTTAACCTCAGTAATTACCACGTACCTGAAGTACAATAACTGCCGCAGAGCTGTCATTGGTGCAGTCCCTTAGCCTGTGGTGACCATATCTGCTTGCCTCCCACTGTCTCCTGTATGGAGGGAGAGTCAGCTTGGTGCCTGATATTCAGCATGCACCCAGCCTGTTCTTTGTTTCCATCAGTTTCCACTTCAAGAAAAATATACAAGGGCCAGAGCAACAGTTTAGTGGGTAAGGTGTTTGCCTTGCACACGGCCAACCTGGATTGAATCACCAGCATCCCATATGGTCCCTTGAAGCACTGCCGGGAGTGATTCTTGAGTGCAGAGCCAGGAGTAATCCCTGAGCTTCGCCAGGTGTGACCCAAAAAGTCAAAAGTATATATGCAGATGGAATCGTATAGTATGTAATCTTTGATGGCTGAATTTTTTCACTGCGAGATGAATTCTATGGAAGTTTATCCAAGTTGTGGAATAGTAATTGTTATGGTCTTCTTTTGTTTTAATTTATTGCTGAGTATTCCATATTTTCAGTGTACTGTATAACCATTCACCTGAATGTACTGTTGAACAGTTTGCATGATAGACTTCTGGGTTTTACCAGAGTTCATCTGTTACAAATTAAGGTACTGTGAATACTCATGTTCAGATTTTTATGTTACTATTTCTCTTGGATAAATACTTGGGACTACAGTTGCTGGATCATATGGTAGATGCATATTTATTTTTTAAGGAAAGTTTTTGTTTTTCAGAATGGATATTTTGTATCCTATTACCAATGCATGAATGATCTATTTTCTCCTCATTTTTTCTGTTTTTCACATGGTTGGTAGTTTCATGGGTTTACGTAGTGCTTTGTTTCACACTGTTCTCTCTTTATTTAGTTTTGACCACACTCAGAGGTGCTCAGGGGACCATGTGTTACCGGGGATCAGACCAGGGTCAGCAGTATGCAAAAGGAGCATCTCTCCAATTCTTAGTGGGTTTGGTTTTGTTTTGTCTTGGGACCATACCTGGCAGGTCTCAAGGCTTATTCCTGGTTTTGCACTCAGGAAACACTCCTGACAGGGCTGAGGGAGTCAAACCCGTTCAGCTGCATGCAAGAAAAGCACCTAATTTGTGCTTTTCTTGTGCCATCTCTCCAGTCCTTCACACTTTTTTTTTAGTCCTGGTGCTTGCCAGAGGTTGTGCCCCCCTTTTAAGTTGATACACACACACACACACACACACACTCACTTACTCACACACAGTCACACAAACCTACTGTCTTGTGTGGCCAGAAATTACTTGCCATGACAAGGATCAGACTGCAGAATTGCCAGACTGACTGTGACTGTCTCATTGGCCGCACCAAGGGTTAGACTCATAGCCTGAGGCTAGCAGGGCAGATGCTTTAACCACTAAGTGTGCTCCCAGTCCTAGGAAGATGGTATTTTAAGTCTCTTTAATGATATGGGAGTTCTTGCTCAGTTAATATCATTTACCCTGTCATAGAGTTGTTTTATTGGTGAGCAAACCTATGTCTGACGCAGGTTCTTTCCCTAACTGTAATGCTGTTACCTAGCTAATGTTGATTTTATGATGTAAGATTTGCATTCAGAATTACAATGTGTCTTTTTTTCTTATTTCCAAGGTTTTGATGATGACGGTTCAGAATTTCACGAACATATATTTCTGGATAAATACCTGGAGGATTTTCCAAAACAAGGACCTATTCGCCACTTCATGGAGCTGGTGACCTGTGGCCTTTCCAAAAACCCATATTTGAGTGTTAAACAGAAGGTGGAACACATAGAATGGTTTAGAAATTATTTTAATGAAAAACAGGATATTCTAAAAGAAAGTGGCATTCAGTTCAGTTCATGACTATGCAATTTTTTTATTTCAAGCTCCTGGAAATAGGTATATCACTAAATAAATTCTACTGGAAGTTTTTCTATATTGTGTTCATTATTATATCTGATTTGAATGATATAAATGTTAAATTGTCTAAATGTATATAAATCATGGTAACTAAAATATTCTTAAGGGGCCGGAGTGATAGCATAGCAGGTAGGGCGTTTGCCTTGCACGCGGCCGACCTGGGTTCGATCCCCAGCATCCCATATGGTCCTCCAAACACCGCCAGGAGTAATTCCTGAGTGCAGAGTCAGGAGGTACTCCTGAGCATCGCTGGGTGTGGCCCAGAAAAGCAAAAATAAATGTTCTTAAATGCTAAACAATTACCAGCATTTGTAGATGCCACTAGCAGTTTCTTTAAGTGAAGTTACATAACTTTATTATGCAGGGATACTGAGTTGAAGGAGAATGTGGAATTCTCCAGAAGCAAGCACCAAAGTCAAAGAAATCTGTGCCCTTAACCAGGGACGCAGGCAGCCCAAGGGTTGAATGCTGTGATGAAAGGACGGTTGGGATGTGGGCCACCCCCACCTCCACCCCCCCCAACACACACACACACACACACACACACACACACACACGCCCAGAATGCAGTGAGTCAAGGGAAAAAGTTGCACGCCCAAAGTCAAGGGTGTGGCCAGCTCTGACCCAAAGCAGTATCTCAGAATTATCTGTGCTAAAGGCTACTTCCTCTAACTTTGTACTTTCATTCAGTGACTATACTTGTTTTAAAGTAATTACTTGCCAGCTATCTGCTAACATCAGTGTTGTAGCAGTTGAGGGGCGTATGTTTATGTAGAGAATACAGATATCTAAATATGATAAATCATGTACATTTGCATCTATAACCAAACTGAATTAACTTCCTTGATTTAGTCTGAGTCACTACAGAGAAGTAACTTTATTTAAAAAGATAAGCTGTTAAATTCCCACATGTACCAATAAATAAAGGGCATATTTCAATCCTTATTTTGGACCTTCATGCCAATATTAGAACTATTTTTTATTACAAGGTGGTACAATGTGATTCAAATTAATGTAGCTCAAAAGAATGAGGATTCTTGGGACTGGAGCAATCGCACAGTGGGTAGGGTGTTTGCCTTGCACGTGGCCAACCCCAGTTTGATTCCCAGTGTCCCGATGGTCCCCTGAGCACCACCAGGTGTGATTCCTGAGTGCAGAGCCAGGAGTAACCCCTGAGCATCGCTGGGTGTGACCCAAAAAGGAAAAAAAAAAGCAATAATTTAATTTTCAGAGACCACAGGCCAGTAGTCTCTGTCCCTCACACAAGCAAGCAAAATCCTTGTGGAGGAACCTGTTGCAGTCTCAGTTTCATGTTGCAAACACACCAGGAAATGAAGCAACATGAATTCACACCGACACAGACAACAAACACCACAGAATGAGACTTTTAAAGCCTTAAATAAGGTAAGGTAAAGGTAAAGGCCCTCCCGTCGATCGTCGATTTGCTCGAGCGGGCCCAGTAACGTCTCCATTGGAGACTTTGTTGTTACTGTGTCTGGCATATCGAATACTCTCGGTAGCTTGCCGGGCTCTCCGAGAGGGGCGGAGGAATCGAACTCGGGTCGGCCATGTTGGCTGCTTGTAAGGCGAACGCCCTACCACTGTGCCATCGCTCCAGCCCTGAACCATATAAAAAATGTAAATCGTGTAGGGGCTGGGGTGATAGTACAGTGGGTAGGGCCTTGCCTTGCACACAGCCGACCTGGTTTCAGTCCCTGGCATCCCATATGGTCCCCCAAACCCGCCAGAAGTGATTTCTGAGTGTAGAGCCAGGGGTAACCCATGAGTACTGCAGGACGTGGCCAAAAAAAAAAAAAGAGCATAAAACAGACTTCTATAAAAGTAGTGAAACAACTGCACAGTAAAGATTAAATGAAGTTTCACAACATGTTACTCCAAAAAATATGTCTAATGGTGTGAGTGGGGGTGGGGAGTGTCTGGGTCGCTAATTCAGACCCTTAAGATAGTCTGTAAAATACCCCATGTGCTAGGCATGATCCTGGCAGCTGTGCTGTCCGAGAGCCTCAACACCAAAAGTGCTTTCATGCAACGCCACAGACAGGTGTTTGTAAGCTCAGCTCACAGGGCACATCCCCCCCCACCCCCCTTCGTGCGCACTGCTACAAGATATGTGAGCACCACCACTAAGTAGTATAGTCCTCTTGCAGGCACAGTTGTGAGCACTGCAGCCAGGATGGGCATGAATATCACCCCACTGCACATGCATGCACATACCACAGCTAAAGAAGAGCGATCAATGAGAAGCGCCACGACCGGTAGCCTGAGTACTGTAGCTGATGTGTGACCTTGGCAAGCAACATCAGAGTGGAGAGATAGTACTGCCGGCCGCTAGGGTACTTGCCTGGCACAAGGCCAACCTGGATACACTCCCAGCACCACCTGTGGTCCCGAAGCACAGAGCCTGGAATGTGTCCTGAGCAGCACCAAGTGTGGTCCAAAAACCGAACTGTTGGATGGGATGTAATGTAGTAGGCAACCAATCTCAGTTAACAAAATCCAAACACACAAGGCTTAATCTGTGGCACTTTGGTAATCTCTAGCACGAAGATAATGGTTCCATGGTGAGATACAACTCTCTTCACTAACTTTCTTCTAAGGAAACAATTTTTTTTTAAACTTTGTTTTTATTTTATTTATTTTTGCTTTTTGGGTCACACCCGGCGATGCACAGGAGTTACTCCTGTTTTATGCATTCAGGAGTTACTCCTGGTGGTGCTCGGGGACCATATGGGATGCTGGGAATCAAACCCGGGTTGGCCGCGTGCAAGGCAAACACCCTACCCGCAGTGCTATCGCTCCCAGCCCCAGGAAACATTTTTAAATCATACTGTTAACAAATTATAACCAGCAATATAAAATAAATTATTGAGGACCTGCTATGGGGGCAGGCTTAACAAGTGGTTTAGGAAATTGGAGACAATGGTGGAGGGAAGGTCTGATGGTGGTGGGATTGATGTTGGAATATTGAATATAGCATCATCATGAACAAGTTTGTAAACCACTTTTTATCAAGTGTAAGGGGAAAATAAAATTTTTAAAAAACCCAAAAGAAAGAAATTGAATAAAGAAATAAATTATGTGTAACAGAAATTGTTAGTGTAAGAAAGTAATCTTTATGTATTCAGATTTTCTAAACGAGAGAAATAAAGAAATAAGATCGGGTGGTCATTGGATAGTTAATGGGTCTGTAGCACTGTCCTCCCGTTGTTCATCGATTTGCTCAAGCGGGCACCAGTAATATCTCACAACAAATTGTGAGACTTATTGTTACTGTTTTTGGCATGTCGAATACGTCACGGATAGCTTGCCAGGCTTTTCCGTGTGGGCGAGATACTCTCGGTAGCTTGCTGGGCTCTCCGAGAGGGGCAGAGGAATCGAACCTGGGTAGGCAGTGTGCAAGGCAAATGCCCTACCCGCTATGCTATCGCTCCAGCCCAGTTAATGGGTACATGTACTTTATGATTTTTTATCTTTAAAAAAAAAGTTTTTAATTGAATTACCATGAGATACACAGTTACAAAGATGTGGTTGTGTTTCAGTTACACAGTGTTCCAACCCCCATCCCTTCACCAGTGTACATTTCCCACCACCAATGTCCCCAGTTTCCTTGCCACCACCACCCCACCAGCCTGCCTCAATAGCAGACACTTTTCTTTTTCTCTCTCACTCATTTTACAATTTCTAAAGACATCAATTCATAGCTCAACAAGATTTCTTAGTCATGTACATGACCGGCAGCACCTCAGAAGGCTTGAATCCTTGGTTCCCTTTAGCAGCAAGCTCTGTGTTACCCACTGCCTTGGTTTCATCCTGTCCAGTCATCCCAATAGGTGCAGAAGTGTCACTGTGGAAATTAGGACGCCATAAAATCCTGAGTAAACAACCTAGAATTCTGCAAACGATAATCTATTAAGCTCAACACATCAAGGTTAAGGACGGAAAGCTGTTTAACTCAACCAATCAGAGCTAACCATTTCAAACAATGAGGAGACAGCAATATACCACAGCTGATGAAACCCAGGGAAATTTTTTATGCAACACAACTAAGAGTTCAAAGCAACAGTTATAACTGCTTATCAGGGTCAGAAAGATCATACAATGAATGTAATCAATGTAGAGAAGAGTTAGGTAGAAATCATCTGCCTCACAGGCATTAGGAGGGGTGGGAGGGGGGGTATATTGGGGTTCTTGGTGGTGAAAAATGAGTACTGGTGAAAGAAAAGGTGTTTGATCATTGTATGATCGAGACAAACCTGAAAGCTTAGTAACCTTTCCCACAGTGATTAAATAAATAAATATAAGAAGAAAAAATATAATAAAATTATGGGAAAAAAAAGTAAGGTGGAGTTCATGCCCAATTCAATCAGCTAATCAGTGACTGAATAAATAGCAGTACTCCTACATAAAAAATCATACAGGAGCTAAAATGCTTGCTTTGCATGCAATGGACCCTGGTTCAAATCCTAGCACCCACATATGGTCCCCTGAGCACCATCAGGTGTGGGCCCAAAAACTAAAACCAAAAACCAAAGCAATGCTTATCAAAAATAAGAGCAATCGGGCTGGAGCGATAGCACAGCGGGTAGGGTGTTCGCCTTGCACGTGGCCGACCCGGATATGATTCCCAGCATCTCATATGGTCCCCTGAGCACCGCCAGGAGTGATTCCTGAGTGCAGAGCCAGGAGTAATCCCTGTGCAACACCGGGTGTGACCCAAAAAGAAAAAAAAAGAAAATAGCAATCAGCGAACAAAGCAGTCAGTACTCAAGAACTGAGGATAGTGTTTTAAACAGAAATAATAAAGCTAGGCTAGAGATGTGGTTCAATGGTAATGTGCATGCATGCCTTGCCTGTGTGAGACCCGAGTTTCATTCTCAACAAAAGAAAAGAATGATAGAGAAAAAGAATAGAACTAAAGAACTTAAATTTTTTTTTAATTTTTTTTCTCTTACTGAAATTTTTTTTCTAATTTTTTGTTTTAATTTTTATTAGTGA